AACAAAGTCCATCATAGAATAGGTACTCCACAAATAATTTCCTGAATCAAAAAATGAATGAACGGATTTTACAAATTGATTTATTTTTTTTTCCCTGGTTGATAGGAATCCTAATATTAAATTTAATGGTGAATCATAGTAACATCCTAGCCTTCATTGTGAGCATACATGCTTCTTCCTTTTTTAGTACAATGATATTCTACTCTTATTCTATTAATATCATATATCCCCTTTATTATATTTCTAAATATTTTGGAATGTGACAGAAAGACACACCAATAGGCAGGTAGGTTGGGTGCCTGGGAGGCAACCTACACTAAGTGGAAAAGGGTGTATTTATTAATTAGCAGTAATGCTTAAATGTGACACATAACAGATTTGAGTAAGATACAAGACAGGCGTCAAGCTAGAAACCCAAATCTTTGGCTACAGGTTGATGCTTGGAAGCCTGGAAAGAGCCAGATTAGAGTAAGCCAAAGGGTACAGCAGATCCAGTGAAAGAGGGAAGCAAGTTTTACCTTTTCATTCCTGCAGTTGTTCAGTCCCATATTATTCATGGAGGACAGTTTCCCATCAACACCATGTGGTTGTTGTTGCTGTTGCTCTCGCTGGATCTGTTCTCGCATCTTCCGAGCCTCCTGAATTGCTTTCATCACTGTATCCTGATCCCCAAACAGGGCAGGGGAGTTGAGACTGGATAGGATATCTGCATATATAGGATGTATTATTAGAGGGTTGTGAGGTGAGACTCAAAAAGTAATGCTACTATGCACTCCCCTGTAGAATACTGTATTCTCCCATCAAGGAAGGGGCACATTTGCTATTAAGAAAACTGTACAATAGTGTGCATAGAGCATAAAAAGCTAGGGTAAACAAGCTCTGCTCGGTATTTTCAGCCCTTGGAGGATATCCCAGCACTCCAGTCTCTCTAGGTTCTGTCTACCCACCTCCTCACAGATGAAGGTTCCTAGATTCCAATTGTGTATATATTGAGGGAAGATATCTGTTCTTGCTATATCTACAATTAGCGTACAATCTTGCCACTTCTGTGGGAGAGCAGTGGGGAGAAACGGGGCTGGGGAGATGAGGAGATGGCAGAGATGCCTATCCAGGCTACCCATTGTATTTGGTGTGCTAATGCAGGAAAGCTGTTTCCTGCTTAGCAAAAAAAAAATTAAAAAAAGAAAGAAAGAAAAGAAAAAGCTTGAAGCTACATGTGTGCTTTAGTGACATAGTATCTGTGTATTCATATGTCCACTGCAGGAGAGAGGGGGTGGGAGAAACACACTGCACTCTCTACTCCCCAGTTGCCAGCTGGTTAATGAGGCGTTCTTCTCATCGTGTTGCCTCAGTTATTTACCAAGAGAATGACAACCCATTCCCCGCACCAACTCGAACACCCACTGCTCACAGCTCCCTGTCTTCATGACAGTGAGGCTATAAGTGTGGAAATGATTTCCACATAAGTACCAAGCTTCAAATAAAGTGAGAATAAATATTTACTTCCATTATATTTCATGCAACACAGAGGGAAAAATTCAAAATTAAACTAATTTTCCTCCATATCTCGCATTTCACTATAGGTAAAATGAATACTTTGCGTAAATTTTTCCAGTTTTAGACAAAAAGAGGGCAATTGATGATTGATAGATTTCAGCTGCTACGAAAAATTTTAACATGCTCCACTTGTTCGAGGCCTGGTATGAGCATTTCACAGCACATGTACATAGGGATGTGTGTGTGGGTGTGTGTGTACACACTTCACACAGACAGATGGGACAGAGGAAACCAGACTACAATCAGGCTCACATGTGCATAGGCATTTGAGTTTGGAAAAAATGTCCAAGAATCTTTATGGAAAACTTTGAAAAAGTCAGTCACTTTTTAGGATATAGAAAACTCATATCTTTTGTTCTGGAGCTTTTTTGATAAAAAGACCATTTTTTATCCAGTATTATCTAAACCGGAGTGCTGTCCAAGCACAGGTGCTATTACTCCAGCCTGTTTCTAGCTAACAAATATGCTCTGCATATCTTATTTTCTTACAAAAATAAGTTTTGTAAGAACTAAGGCCTGTGACATAGTCGTCTCCGTCCCTCACAATGCTCAGTACAGCAAACAAATGCTTTCCAGACAAAATTCAGAAGTGGATTATAGGAGGGCCATTTCAAGATCAAGTCTATTAATTATGTTGGCTTTTTTCCCTCATCTCACAACTTCCGAATAGCCAGCCAATGGATATTCTTCATATTCACAGGCTGGAAATAATTCACTTCTCTCTTCTACGTGAATACCACACCACTTTCTTGGGGTGAAAACCTCTGGGTCCCTGAAAGAGGCATCCTGTCTCAAAATGAAAACAGGCCGCTGTCCCAAATTTCAATGAGGAAGACTTACATCTTACTCTCAGAAGATTCACTCATACTCAGTACAGTTCAGCAAATATTCCAACTGTGAGTTTACAAAAAGAACACTGATTTATGTGTAAGAGGACTTGGGTTTAGTCCTGGTCCTGTTATTAGCTATAGGGTTACAGGCAAGTCATTCTACCTGTAAGAACCACAATTTACTTAATCTGTACAATGAGGGTAATAATAACACACTACCATAACTCATAAGATTATTGTGAAAAATCAAATGAAATAAAATAAGCAAGAATTTTTTTTTAACTGTAAATGGCTCCACTTACACATTATTTCATCTATTGTAATAACCATTTCAGACTCCAGGATTCAATAATGCAAGGAAGATAATATGGGGAACAAATGTTAGGTCTAGTCCCTAATCACTTTGAATCTCTGTATCTGTACTTGGAAATTAAGAGATTTAAAGAGTATAGTAACAATAATGTTAGTACTTATTTAGCATTCTCCCACTGACAGTGCTTTCACATTTATTGTTTTATTCCACTGATATATGTATATGTGTTGGTATTCATTCACTCCAGTTTTTTTAAATTGAATGTCTTCTAGGTGCTAGGTACTTTATATGCATTTTCCTTCTTTAATCCTCATAAAAACCTGTGAGCTAAATTAACATTACTCCCCTTTCAGAGATTAGGAAACTAAATTTAAAAATATTAAATAATTGTCCCAGGGTCACATAGCAAGTAAGTGAAGGCTCTCAGTCCAAGCCTCATTTCAAAACCCATGCTTTTTCCTCCATACTTTTCACACAGTGAATATCCCTAGAGATACTTGGCAATAGAGTTGACTCTTGAACAACACTGGTCAGAATTGTATGGGTCCACTTATATGCAGAAATTTTCCAATAAACACACTGAGAAATTTGGGCTTAGGTATGTCACAAATACCCAATATCTGTTGGTAAGTAGCCTACCTAACAGTAGGCTTTTAGCAGTTAAGTTGTTAAGTTTGGGGGAGTCAAAAGTTATACTTGAATTTTCAACGGTATGGGGCTTGGTGCCCCTAACCCCCATGTTGTTCAAGAGCCAGTTAAATACGAGGGAGTACGAGGGGCCAGAGGATCATGAAGACATGTCTTCCTAGATATCAATTTTATTTCATATGTTATTTAAGTGTGTCATTCATATTTGTTTCAATGCAAAACTAATAGGAGAAAAGATGTACAATTCACATGCATTTTTAAAAGAAAATATAAAATTTCAAAAAAACTTTAGGCTTTTGACAGGGAGTGATGAGGCCAGGTCCTCAGGCCCTTGGAGAGTTACTTCAGTGGCAAAGCACTGACCAAACACAGAAAATCCTAAGTCAATGATTTCTTGGATCTAATTCATCATCATCTAAAGAGTCTATCCCACTGAGATTTATATTACGACTTTTTCCAAAAGTTCTAATCACCCAAGATACTAAATTGGTTATGTTTCTATAGAAAAGATAAGAATTTTATCTTTTACTAAGGAACACTTTGGAAACAAGGATCAGTCATCACTGAACAGGTTTGATTTCTTTTACCTAATTCATAAGTCTCTTCCTGGTGTTGACTTTTCCATTTACCTAGAGAGGATCCTCTTCCCAAGCTTCCTCCAATGGGACTAGGGATGCTGCTTTTGTTTGGCAGATTGACAGGGCTGGTTTTGCTGGGTGGGAAGAGGCTCTGGGTGGGAGATGTTGGGGACTTTACAGGCTCTGCTGTCTTGGGTCGGGATGAGAGATTCAGCGGCTGTGCTGCTGCTTCATCCTACAAGAATTTAACATAAATAATTATTAAAAGAAAAAAAAAGACAAATGAAGCACATTATCACTTAGAAAGCCACAGTCATTTTACACCTCAGAGACAATGCCACATTCTCCTACAATAATAACAAAAGAAGCTAATTATCTACCTCCTTGAAGATTCATCAGAAGGAAACCTCATTAATTTTCCTGTGTTATGCTTCTATTTACATTAACTGTGTAGTTGGATCATTCTTTTTGCCAAATTAAAATCTGAATTAGCTCACATTACAGCTTAATTTCCTAATGTGTTTTCAGGGATCTAAATTAACCTAGGGCATTTACAAAGAATTATTTAAAATTTCAGCAGTTCTGTAGTGCTTTTGTGTTATTCTCTCTGAAAAGTTCCCTGTAACTATAAATAGCCTCTGCAGCTAATTTTTTAATATATATTTTAAATCAAACAATTGCAAGTACTTTAAAAATGGAAACATGGAAAGCCTTCTTCTGATCTTCTGGGTCCCTGCCCAAGGAGCCGCATGCCACAGCAGGGCTTCTATGTGGCTTTCTGGGTGTGGGCACTCTTCATGGTCTATATTCTGGTCTCTATTCATGTTTAAAATTAATTTTTGCAAAGAGCAAGCATACATTATAATTATGTTTTACATACCATGCTATATACAATTTATTTTTCATGTTTAAAATGATGTCTCTTTATATTCTTTGCTGCATTTATTTACAGAATGTCTATTTTAAGACTCATGTCCTTCTACACTGAGCACAGTATTCAAATATCTGGCTTGTAACTCTAGTTTAGCTAGGAGCTTGAAAGCTAAGCTCCCTGCCTTTATTTTGTCTCATTTATCCTGCCATAAAATACCCATAGCAACATTTCCATCATTCTAGAGATTTAGTTGTAATATGAGCATATTCATTTAAATGTTCAGTTTTAAGATCTGCATTATTGTGTTCTAAAATAAAATTCTCAGTAAATGTTAACTCCTGTTTTTGCTTCTGAGAAGGCCCGGAGAACTTGCTTTTAATGTCATTGTTTAAAACACACAACAGAGTTTGGTAACAGAACATTCTCCCCCTTGGTAAACATATAACCTCGCTGTGGTGAGGTCTGTAAAAAGAGGGTCTGACACTAGATGATCTCTAAGGTCTCTTCCAGTATTAGCACATTGATTAAGGGAGAATAAAAAGAGATGCCAGAAATACCACTTGGGAAGGAGAATTAGAAAGAGAAAATAAAAATAACATGCACAGAGAAGAGACTATGTACCAAGCACTATACTAGGTATCTTCACAAATATTAACTTATTTAACCACCAATAACTTCATAAATCTGGGCAGTATTACTCTTACAAATTCAAATTTACAAATGGGGAAACAGTGGTCAGAATGATAAAAGTCACTGTTCAAGGCCATACCTGGAGGGACAGAATTTGAATTCTAATTTATCCGACTCCAAACTTAGCCCCTTTTCTATTAAACTACCAAGAAAATAAGTCATATGTTTGATACTATAATGATGCCCTAGATTTTTTTTCTTTTTTTTTTTGTCTTGGTAGGAAATAGGTCATCTGTCACACCTATGTTGCAATGTACCTTTATCTATATTTCTTGTTTCTCAAGAAACACAGTTATATCCATTATGAATGTCAAATTTATCTGATATACTTAATTATAATTTACTTCCCTTTGCTCTTAATTTTAAGAATAATGAGTTTCTGTACTAATATCTAAATAACAGTAATTTATATGCTAAGTATTTAGTTTTCTCTATGTTTCTTTTACTTGAGGTTCACTGAGCTTCTAAAATATCTGATTTTAGAGTTTTCATCAAATTTGTAAAATTTTCAGCATTACTTCTTCAAAAATAAATTTTTGTTCCTTCCTCCTCCTTCTGGGGCTCCAATTACATATATTAGGTCATTTGATGTTGTGCCATAGTACTGACCAGTCATTTTTCTATGTGTTTCGATTTTAGAGTTTTATTGTTATGTCTTCAAGTTCGCTAACCTTTTCTTCTGCAGTATATAAGCTGTTGTTAATCCCTTCCACTGTATTTTTCATCTCAAACACTGTATTTTTATCTCCAGAAGTTTAATTTAGATTTTCCATATCTTGCCTAATCATGCTCATGTTTTCCTCTATCTTCCTTTTTTTTTTTTTTTTTTTTTTTTTTTTCCTTTTTGAGACCGGCCCCCCCGCCCCCAGCCAGTGAGCTCTGTGAGCACACCGGTCATCCCTATATAGGATCCGAACCCGCGGCGGGAGCATGGCGCTCCCAGTGCCGCACCCTCCCGAGTGCGCCATGGGCTTGGCCCTCCTCTATCTTCTTAAACATATGTAGTTAATAACATCTTTTTCAGTTTTAAATATGCTCTAATTGTTACTAATTTTTGTAACTCAATGATTGCCACTTCTACCAACAATGCAACTGGGCATGGGCATCACCTACCAACTCCCAATTAGGTAAATCCACTGTGGCAGAGAGACTGTAGTTCCTCACAGCCTGCCCCAGCACTGACAGAAACTTTGTGCTAACCAAGCCTGGGGGTAGGGGAAATAAGAAAAACCCTAGGCAAGAATGCCACAAATTCCCACTGTTCTTGCATATAAGAAGCACAAATGTTTTCTCAGCTTGTATATGTCTTTGGTCAATTTCCAGAGTGCTGAAATGATTATTTTTGTTAATTTGTGCAGCTTCACTGTTGATTTTATTTTTACCAATTTTATTCATTTTGTCAGTTTTGTTGATTTTATTTTATTTTTGTCAAGTTTTATTTTACTTTATGTTTGCCAATTTTGTCTGCTCTCTATAAAGCAATAGCTTTTTAGAAAGCAGATTTGCCTACCTTTTTACTTGGTTCTAGTTGGAAGTCTCCTGTAATAGCTATTTTTACTGTTTTATCTACTAATTCTATCATCTGAGTCATTTAGAGATCTGTTCCTGTTGACTGATTTTTCTTCTCATTATTCATATTTTCTTGCTTCTTTGCAAGTCTGGTAATTTTTGAATGGATGCACATATTGTAAATTTTATATTGCTGGGTGCTGGAATTCATGTATTTCTTTAAATATCTGTGGACATTGCTTTTGAGACACAAAACAATTTGATTCTTTCTAGGCTTACTTTTAAACTTTGTTAGGCAGGTTCAGAACAGCCAATAGTCTAGGGATAACCTGGCCCCACTATTGAGGTAATACTCTTCTGGGGACTCTATCCGATGCCCCATGTATGAGATCTTTCCATTCTGGCTAATGGGAATGCAAACCATTCCCAATCTTTTAAGAACCTTGCAATTGTTTTGCCTTGCACATTCTGGTGTTTCCCTGGCCTCAGGCAGTTTCCTCACAAGCAAGTGCTGGTCAGTATTTCACTAAATACTCAGGGAACCATCTGCAGATCTTCAGGGATCTCTCCCTGTGCAGCTCTCTCCTCTCTGGTAACCTGCCTCACAAATTCTATCTATATCAGCATCTGTAAACTCTGAATTTTATCTCTATATCCAAGGAGCCTGCCAAGTCTCCTACACAGTTGCTTGGAAACTCTCTAGACAGTGAACTGGAATAACTGGAGTGTTTGCCCCACTTATTTCTCTTCTCTCAGGAATCACTGTCCTGTACTCCCTTTGCAAATGTCTGAAAACCATTGTTTTATATAGTTTTGTCCTGAATTTTAGTTGTTTAAGCTGGGCAAGTAAATCTGGTCCCTGTTCCTCCATCATTGTTAAAAATGGAAATCCTCTAGGTGTTTGGTTAGGATCTCTCTCAGTATACAACTAGACATTTCAAAAACCATTAAAACTACCACACCATCTCCTTTATTACCATCATGAGCATCATCATCATCACTATAGTAACATTTCTGGAATACTCGCAATATGCACAAGGATGTATTAGCTCATTTAAAGACCCATGATAATATTAACTCCCATTTTACAGAGGAACAAACTAAGGCTGAAAGAAATTAAGTAACTTCCCCTTTTAATAGCTAGTAACAGTGGCAGAACTGGTATTTGGACAGAAACACTCTGACTTCTGCTGTTGACAGTTATAGTAGATAAAAATTCTGGGGAAAAGAAGATACATAAGGCCTTTTGTGTTTATGTTTATTTTTGTTACCTTTAGCATACTTTGCCCTATGTCACACTTGAACTTAAAATAAGTGGTCATGTTATATACAGAGGGAAAGCAATGAATATAGAAAAAACATAAGAAATTTTGGTGACCATAAGTCTTTCAATTAGCAAACTATGAGATTATTTTCAGAACTTCTTTAATAATAGACAGAAGCTATTTTATTTTTTAATTTAAAACATTTGCTTTACATCTTGGTCTATTTATTTTGAAACACATATAGCATAAACAACCTAATAAGTATAAGAAATGTTTCCTTTGTCATTAACATAAAGTATAGTCATGTCAAATTATATAGAGAACTCCCTAAGAATTTGCATGTGGTCAAGTGAGTAATAAAATTCATTTGGCCCACAAAGATGGAATGGCACAAGCAGATATAAACTTGAATTTAACCAAGGAACATTTTACTCATCCAGTAAAGGCTTGGTTTGGTGCAGTTCCAGTTGGCTAACTTACTTATGAAATGACTTTTTCATGTTAAAATATTTAATACTCAATGGCTCAAGTCACTAATGTTTGATACCCTCATACTCTAACAACTATGATTAAGCAAAGTGCCTTGATTTGAGCTGTAGTGTTCTGACCCCTATTCACAAACACAGACTCTTAGAACAAAAGATAGTCTCTTTCCATAAGTGATTCTGTATTATGAGACGTAAACTGCCTATTGTCATATTCTCAATATTTCTAACAAAACCTAAATGTTCACCTACTTCTTTGGAGAATCTAAAAGAATGGGTGGCATTAAATTAATTGTTCTGGGTGTAGCACAGGCAAAATTATTTCTCTTGATGTTCATTCACTGTTTTGATCTTTGGTATTTGAAATCCATGTTTTTAAAAGGCCTTTCTGAAATCTCAAAATTTCTATCTGTAAATTTTAGAAAACAAAACAATACCAGTGAGTGTACAGAATCCAATGATAAGTTTTATTTGTCTCAGCTGTTTCCCATGTGAAAATTTAATAACTGCAAAATTTCTCCAAATGCAGTACTTTTGTCACGTTACAATAAAGCGTCTATCCTTAGCATACCCCACCAAGTAGATAAGTCAATTATATAAAACAATTGTTTCTCTGAACTGTTTGAGTTTGGCAATTAAATATAGAAAGCAAACACAATCATAAAAACCAACCAGTACCACCTATAGGTACCAGCTGCAGCACAAAGTTGAAGTGGCTCATCAATTTCCCTCTGTCGCCAAGTATCTTCTGGCGGCCCAGTTTCAAGACACTGAAAATCAGTGAGGAAAGGCATCTATTATTGTCCCAGCCATAACTTGAGAAAGCCTGTTTTTCCTATTATAACGGTATGGTATCAAAAGCATGATTAGTCAGTGACACCACTCATTTCTCAGAGCTCACATTTGTAGCTAGATTTGAAGGAGAAACCTTCATCAACAAACCACATAAAGTCCAACATTTGATTCTTTTTTGTCCCCTTTCCTAAATCTAAGGTTCCAAGATCCTCCTTCTCTGGTACTATAAGTTGGCTCCCCACCTGTTTAAGGAACATAGAGAGAAGTGTCAGAAGTCTATGACAAAGACTGGCAATAAAACCATGGCCATTCATGCCAATGAACATTAAAAAATAAAAGCCAGAATCCAGAGGGGAAAAACTCTTGAGAAGTGAGCTTGCAGATTTAGGTAAAGGTCTCACAATACAGCACTATTGTTATCAAAAAGGAAACACCTGTTTCTCAATGTTCAATCATGAAATTTACCATAAAGAGGAGCATTTGGGGTTCCTTTATGTTCCTATGCTTCCTGCTGTTTATTCCCAACACAGCCTGGTTTGCTACCTTTCTTGTGAAGCTATTTTCCAAACTGTTTCCACAATCCTGCAAAGCAAGTACCTTAACTTGAGTTACAGGGCTGGTCCCTCTCTTTTCATTTTTTATCCCAGTAGGTGAGACTGCCCCTGCTGTGTTCGGTGGCTGTGGAGTGGATGGCATCTTTGCTCCAGGTGACACCTGCATGCTGGCCAGCTGAGCGGCATAGAGCTGCTGCAAAACAGGGAAGACAAACATTGATCTCTTTAAGTGCAGCTGAAATGGAGTTTAAAAAGAAAACAAAAAAATACCAACTTACCGTATTGTTAGATAACCATTTCTCTGACAGCCTTGCAATTTATTTTTCACTATTTTATAAAGAGGAAAATAAGAGAAACTAAATAATGTCACAGAAAGAAAGAGCACTGGCATGGGAGCCACAGTTCTGTACCTGGTCCTTCTAGCAATACCTTTATGACCCTGGACCTGATCTCTCTAGAACTAACTTGGTTTCTTCAATTGTACCAAAAGGAGTTTGACTAAGTAGTTTTGTCTCTAAGATACTTGCTAATGTCTAAAATCTTTATAAAAAGTTCCTTAAATGTCTGGTATATCCAGTCATGTAATTTTAATATTCAGGAACTAAGAAACTAACCTGAAATTTCCTAGGGATTCCTGAAAGAAGTACACCATTCTTCTTTCAGCACTGACCAAGCTTCTCTGGGGATTCTGATCTTTCTGGATAATGAGGGGTGCCCCAAGACCCCTGGGGCTCAATGGCAGTCACTCTTTTCTTAGGGTCTTATTTCTAGGTAGCATGTAACATAATCCTCAAGGGAATATGGCCAGATTTGTAGCAATTAAAGAAACAAAAATTTAAAAAATCAAGCTTCTTTTTCCCAGCACAGGAACCACCCACTTGCTTCTCAACCCAAACCAGGTAACAAAGTGCTTCCTTCATGCCCCAGAACAGATCACCTGGTTTCACCTCACTTCCTCCTCTGTGGAGACCATTCCCTTCAACTTATGTAACTGTTCTGACTGGTATTTATCTACTTACTTATAAATGCTTATACTGTTAGATTCATATCCACCTACTTCATACAATGGAAGACGAACGTTTAGCTCCTTACATCACCAACCCAACATGTGCTCCCATGCTTCCCTTCCTAATCTCTCAATGTTAGTATCACAAATTTTAAAATTAATGTTTACTGTTTTACATTATTCTATGAAGATACTATTCATAGTGGAGGTATGTAATGAACTATGTTTAATTTTCTCTTTCTCAACTTTTTATTTTGTTAGATTTAATATTTGCCTCATTTTTTGTTTTCTTAATTTTTTATGTTAACTATCACTAATTCCCAAACTCTCCAAGAGATGAGTAAAACTCTACACAACATGGTTGAATGTATCAGGCAATCTGTATATCCTATTTTTTCCCCTGGAGACATCCTTCTTGGAAATCTCTGTGTTCCTACTCCAATCTGAACTGGTTTATTCTTTAGGCCTTCTGCAGATCTATGATACTCGGAATTCCTTTTGCCTCTCCTGTACTGGATTCCCTGTTTCCTGTTATAATGTTTTCCTCTCTCTTAGTTAACTGCCTCTTTATGGTAGGTCACATCCTCCAGGAGCATCCTGAGAAAGGTGAATGTGAGGTTAATTTTTTAGGAACTAACATTTCTGGAAAATGCTATTATTACATTCCACTCATTTGATTATATAGAATTCTAAGTTGAAAATAATTCTCCCTCAGAATTCCAAACATATTAATCTGTTGTCTTCTTATTCCTGTTGCTGAGAAAGTCTGATGTCATTCTGGTTCCTGGTCCTTTGTATGTAATCTCCTCTGAGAGATTAGGATCTTCCCTTGATACTAAGTGTTTTGAAATTTCACTACAATATCCTTCTCTTTCTGTTGACTTTTACAGAAACTCAGTCAGCTCTTTCAATCTGTAAACTCATGTCCTTCAATTCTAGGGAAATTTTTTGTTATTTTTCATTAATAATTTTTCCCCTTTGTTCTCTTTCTTGAACTCTTATTAGATAAATGCCAAACTTCTTTAATAACCCTATACTTTTCTTATTTTTTCATTCTATTTGTCACTCTTTGACCTTTTGTTATATCCATGACAGTTTTTCAACCTTATCTTCCAAGACTTCTATACATTTTTTAAAAAATTTCTATGATAGTTTTAAGGGTACTCTTTTGTTTGACTGTTTCTTTTTATATCATC